TATTATTATCAAAGTTGAAATAAAAAAATTCCTGATTAAAATCTTTTTTGATCCAATGCTGGCCCAGTGATTAGGTTTAAAAGTTATCGAAACCACAATATCCTTAATTTTTAGCCTTTTAACGCTAAAGTAATAGATCTAAATTTGTAGAATTTAAATTTCATATTTATTAAAGGTGTCTATTTGATCTCTGAAAACATTGTCATTGAAATACCGATTACGATTAAGATAACAAAAAAATGTATTATAATTATGTTAATAATTATATTTTTAATTTTATTATTATCTCCGTCGCTAATTTTATATGTAGTATTAATCTGATTGCTAACACAAACATATTTTATGATCCTGTATTGTTAATTCTCTAAATTGTGGTGACTATGTATTAAATTTTTCTAGTTATTAAAGACCTATGGACAGACCCCCACCAATCATGTAAAATTATATATATATTTTTATCATATTATATTATCATTATTAATATAAACACAATATGTAAGAAACATAATTTCTAAATATGCAGCAAGCGGTATATTTAATATTTTTATTGTTTTACACAAATTATACTTTCAATAACAAAACTTATTGTATAACTATGCAATTCTATCGTATTTTACGTATTGTATTTATCCCAGATTTTAAATACAGATTCCATCTTTTAGATACAATTTCGAGATAGTACAATAAATTAATCAATGGCAAATTTAACAGAAAAAAGTTTTTGATTTGCTATTACCTTATAAAAATTTAGCATGAACATTAAAACTCTCACGCAATTAAAAAATTTTAAATATAAATAAGAGTATATGTGATAAGAAAAATTTAAAATAATTTTAAAGTTGAAATTGAGCAATAATTATGGAATTTTTTTGTACAATTGTAACCGTTTTTAACCAAATACTTGTGAGATTAACTAATAAAAATTAATTTTTTTTTTATCAAAATTTGTAAGCAATTTGAATAAGAAAGTAATTCACAAAATTTTTTGTTGAATTCAGCGATAAATCATTGTATACGAAAAATTATTCCGAGTGTAGACAGAATATTATTACTAAGTATATGTTATTATTTATAGCTATCATAGTAATTTGTTTGGCTTTTAATATTACAGTGTATGATGCGTTATATGGTATAGATAGATAACAGTTTAAAATTAATTTAAATATTCTGTAAATTAAACTACACACAAAGTAAAACATAATCATAAAGGTCCCTAAAAGTATTATTTTTGAATGAAAAAACAAATATTACCTAATATCAATATTTTTTTTTGAAACATCCAATTTCACTAAGATTTGAACTTCATATATCTATATTAAAACATTGTTACTATATATATATATATTTGATAGTATCGGTGTTCAGTAAGAACGATGTGTGAGGAACGTTGTATTTTTATTTCCTAATTGTTTTTGATTATATTATACTTTTTTTATCCGTATGCTGTAAGATATAATGTTAAATACGATTTTAAGATACCTAATTTATATTATGGCATGATTAAAAAAAAAGGTTTTTATTGTTGAAATAAATTTTTCTTTATAAAAAGTTTATATTAAAATATTAATAACAATAAATGCAATAATAGTATGTTAATATTGTTATTTTAATAAGGTTAAACATTTTTTTATTTCTATTTTACGTTGAACCCATAAGTAAATAAACCTATTTTGGAATATTTAAATTTCCAATAAATATTAATAATATCTAATCATAGAATCTGGAAGTAGTGTCAATGAATGATGCTCCTTTTTCTTACCTTTTTTTAGTCTAATTGTAAGCTTGTTTATTTATTGTATTAAATATTGTTGATACAGTTTTTAAATGTTTTTATAAGTAAATAAGTTAATTAAAAAATAACAGGAACAGTTTACAGCGGTCTATAGTTCTAAACTACTTATGCTCAGATCTAACAAAACATTAATTGTTGATTAATAATGACTTAAAATTAAATTTAGAATATCTTTCTTATTAGAAAAATAGTTAATACTTTTTACAACTTATACAGTTTTTTAAATAAATAAATCTATTCTATTATAAAAAAAATTTAAGAAGTTAACTACGATCGCGCTAACTGAGAAAACTACTGAACCCATTTAGTTTACACTTTTTACTGTTATACCTGATAGTCTGTTGACGGTATTAATACCACTATGTTAATAAAAAAATTAAATTAATTAAGAAAAATAGAAATTTTCACGCATATCCAATAATATTATTAAAATTGTTGATTTGTATAACCATGGTTACCATTAAGACACTTATTTTATAAGAGTTGTTATAATTATACGGAATTAAATTTTTAAAATATCTAAATTAATTTATAGATATTACCTATCTATTCATATAATATATTTATTCACACTGTTTTATGATAAGATTTAATCAACTCAAAAATTAATAACAAAGTTTTTGAAAAATTAAAAAAAAAAATGCTAATTTTTGGGGCCTTTATGCGAGATCAACAAAAACAGGACTTTTTTATGTTCCCATTTTGTGGACAACGGTATTTATCTTATTTCCATTTTTTTCCAAGAGGTTATACCAAATACCGAAAACCACTAGAAACTTTTCAATACGTTTTTATTAGCCGTTTTTTATATTTACTTGCCGATCACATTATTAAACAATACAATTTGAATATAAAATTCTACGTATCAATATATCATCGTCTGGGCGTAAAACCAATCAAGGGAGAAGGCATGACCAGTCAGTTAGTTCTATATGTATAAATTAAAAAAAAATAGTTAAATAGCTTGTATGAATACTCAATCGAAACTCAAGGGTTTACGAATTCCAACAGGTATAAAAAGTACACGTGTATACTGTACACGGATTTTGTTGTATTTTAATTAATTAAGAACCCGTGTAATTAAAACATTTTATTTACCTGTGTATTTTTTTTCACATGCACAGTGTATACGGATACTCATATATAGAACATAATTCACGTGTAAATATAATAATACAAGATTTCCTTAATAATTATGCCTGTAATATAAAGAATACAAAATTTAATTTATAAAAAAAACATATTTAACTAAACTTTTATCTATAATGTTAAATTTGTCCTACAATAAAAATGTTCATTGTTCATTCTTATTTGATTGATTCATTTTTAATAAAGTTAATTTCTAGTACTTACAAAGTTTGTATAAACATATTATTAATTTTAAAGCACTCTTAATTCGTAAACACATGTATTTAATTACACGTGAAATAGTAAGCCCTAGTAGTTAAACATCTTTATATCAGAATTAATTTATTCAATATTTTTTTTTTTTTTATTAATTTCATAATACTCTGCGAAATTTTAAACGATAAGCAGTGAATTAACATAACAAAAGATTATTATATATATATTCGTATAAAAATTCACGAATTCACTAAAGTATTATCATTATTATTAGATAATTGAATCTACAATCTACAAATCCCCACTGTGTCTTATAAAAACGGTAGATTATAATACTAAACCTTACATCTAGACGATAAACTTAAGCTTATTTTAACCAGTAATCATAAAGCTTGCGCTTATTTATAAGCACTTGATTTACACATTCTTAAATAAAAAAAAACACTTCATATAAATACACCTGTAATGATATTATTTAAAATATATAATAGTTGACTGATAATTTCATTATGGTATGAATATAGAATAACACTCAAAAATATTAAAATGTTCAACAAATAGTTAAAAAATCCTAAGTTTATACATGTCATGTATTCATTTTCGATATAAAGTGATATATTATTAATTTGTTATTTATGATAATACTAGCATTGACTTAAACATGGGTAAATTCTATTTTATTTATAATCAATACTTTATAAATTACTTACAAACTTAATAATTACAATATATTTATATATAGTTTGAATTTTTCGTATATTTATGGAACACTGAAGCGTATATTATTCTATACTTAAATTTCCACTTACATGCAATTTGGTGAGTGTTTTGATCTAATTAATAACGTAACTAATCACTTACTTTGATTTATTAAGAATATATAGTTTGATCAAATATTGTAATCATTCAAATCTTATCAAGCAATAATGTATTTAATAAATATACTAGTTTTCATCAAACCGCATTCACAAATCTCAATCTGTTTCAGTAAAATAAATAATAATCAACTAGTAGGTCCATTCAATATCTAATTTTAATAACTATTGTAAAGAAAAACAAAATAATAAATCTTAGCAAACAAAAAATGCGCCTTTGGAAATTTAATAATATAAATTTAATGTTTAAATCGTTTTAAACAAGTAGGTATACTAGTACTTAGTTTTTTATGTTATAATAATACTGAAACATTTTAAATTTTTATTAAAATTAGAAGTACTTTAAATCAATTACAAATTCAAACATACCTATTATCTGCATACATTTATTAAAAATACATGTTGAAACAAATTTCAGTATTAGTATGGTCTATTTTATGTATTTATATTCCTTCTACTTCTGGAAACATATCAATGATATTTCCGTTCACAATACTATTTTAATCATTTTCATATAAAAGAATAACTAATGTTAACAACTAACAATAATATTACCTATTGTTTTAGGTTGAATATGGACTCTGGTATTAAATCCAAACGGCCTCCACATCCTAGGGCCAATGCAAATATTCTAGAAATCATCACTTTTGGGTAAATTAAATTTAAATGTAATACGACGATACGACATAATATATTTTCAGTTAGCTGTTTGTGGTGGTATTTAAAACACCCAATATTTCACAGTATTTTAAATATTAAGTATATAGAATTTAGATAAATATGTGATGAATTAAAACTTATAACTATTAACTAATTAATTTTATTTTATATTTAATACAGTTTTTATATATTTTTTTTTTTTTGTTATTTTATGAAGATGGATTTACAAACTTTTTAAAACTGGAAATAAAAGAGATTTAGAAGTAAATGATTTGTATACAACACTAAATGATCACTTGTCATCGGCATTAGGCAGTGAATTAGAAGAGTAATTAAATTTATTCAATAGATATTATTATTGCTTCTTTATAATTATTATTAATAACACTAATTAAATTAATTAAGTGTTTTAATACTATTTCTTTTCATTAAAATTGATTGTATTATAGAAAATGGAAAAATGAGTTAGCTAATGCTAAAAAAACGAATCGATCGCCAAGTTTAACAAAAGCTTTGATCAAAATGTTTGGAGTTAAATTTATGTTATTTGGATCACTACATTTAATCATCGAAATTGTATTAAAGTAAAAATTTTATTATTTTCTATAATAACTACCATAAAAGCCAATAACTACAGATTTACGCTTATAAAATGAAACATAGGAAAAGAATATAAAATACAATATTAATATTTGGCTATGTTTTAGATACAGCTTTTCTACAGTAATCTCATCTTAATCAAACTCTTCTTTTTTAGATATTTATTTTTTTTTTAATTGAATATCACAAAAACATGACATATATTATATGTTTAAATTTTCTTAAATTGGGCCAAAGTTTCTATAATTAATATCAAGGTTTTTAAAAAATTTCGATAACTTTCAAGTCCTGTTAAAATTTCATCATAACAAAAAAAAAATGAGGCCCATATGGACTTATGGCCCTCAAATTTGGAAAAGCGACAAACCATCCCAACTGCAAACCATCCAAGCATTCTAATCCATATCCCTCCGACTCATAACATCTGCCCCATGGTACGTAACAAATAATACATTCCACAAGAACTTAAAAATACAAACTGTTGAACAACTAATTAAACAATACTACACTAAATTTCACAAAAATTACAATATCACCAAAATCCCTTATATCTCTCACTTATTATCACGTACACTTCCTGAAAATCTTCTTTGCCGCCTTAAAAGACGCTTATGTCAAGAAAATCATAACAAAATTAATGATGTGTATATAGTTTTATTTCTAAAAATACTTGCTAATATAGAATCTCTCAACCATTACTCATCGGTGGACTGTTATCATACTTTAACCCTAATATTTCGAACAACGCGCATAACATAAACTACGCATACATGTATGCGATATTGTTGACATTAAACATGCTAGTTTCATTGGTGTTGTATCATGCAACACAAATAGAAATTTTTCATTGCGGAATGAAAATGCGTATTGCCTGCTGTTCAATTATATTTCAAAAGGTAAATATGTTTTTAAAAATAAATAAATAACAATGGGCATAAATGGGATTTATAAAAAATTAATCTCAAATTATTTGCAAACATTTATTATTATACTAAAATATGCATAATTTAATAATTTCAAAAAACACGCATACAACATAAGCCATTATAACTTGATTGATCTTAATATATTTAATATTATTTCGTTATAATTTTTTATTTAATTAATTATAACTCTAAAAATGTATGATTATTAATTAATGATTATAAAAAATATAAAAATACACAGATTATATTTTACTTTTTAAGGCATTGCGATTAAGTAATACGGCTCTTGGTGAAACTACTGTTGGCCAAGTAGTAAATTTATTATCAAATGATGTATATCGCTTTGATAATGTAGTAATATTTCTCAACTACTTATGGTTGGGTCCTATACAAACAGTATTTGTCACATATTTTTTGTGGCAAGAAATTGGAGTGTCATCAATAATTGGAGTAGCAATATTACTTTTAGCCATTCCATTACAAGGTTTGTGTAAAGTGTAATTTAACGAAAATTCATTAATTTTTCTAAAGTAACTTATCATTATAAAATTAATTAACATAATATGTTATACTTATTTTCAGGTTGGATCGGAAAAAAAATTTCTGAATATCGATTAAATACTGCAATTAAAACTGACGAGAGAATACGTTTAATGAATGAAATAGTCTCAGGAATTCAAGTCATTAAAATGTACACTTGGGAAAAACCTTTCGCAACTTTTGTAGAATATGCTAGAAGGTATGATCAAAAATCTATTGGATCATCTATTTAAATAAATTATAATTCATAATAATTATTATTGTTCTAGGAATGAAATAAGTGAGATTAAAGGATCGTCTATCTGCAGAGCAGTAATGCTATCATTTAGTGGTTTTCATGCAAGGGTTGCATTAGTATTTAGTATAATATCATTTGTGTTACTTGGAAACTATATATCTGCCGAACAAGTAAATCAAATTAAGTGAAATAAAAGAGTAAAAAACGTTAATAATAAGCAATTCCTTCAAAACGTTTAGGTATTTGTTATAACATCGTATTTTAATTTATTGCGGTTGTCAATGACAAATTTTTTTCCACAAGGTATTGCAATTTTAGCGGAATTGTTCATATCCATTAACCGACTTCAGGTAATTATAAAATAAAATCAAATGTAATGAAAAGTTAATAAAAGTATTTTATTTTTTATAATGTAAGAAATGATTGTTTAAAAATACATAGGATAATTTATAGAATATATGTTGTTTAAGGCATTTTTATTGTACGAAGAAAAAAAAAGTCAAACAGTTTTTCTCTCAAAATCTGATAAAACAAATTCTAATAGTAACAGTGACATCAAATATAATAATGACGATTTAACACAAATTTATAAAAGATATGAAAATGAAACGACTCAATTTAATAACATTGGAATTGTTGTAAACAATGCCACAGCTAAGTGGTCAGATTCTCAAACTGAAAACTCTCTAGAAAATATCAATCTAACTGTAATACCTGGTCGATTAGTTGGAGTGATTGGTCCTGTAGGAGCAGGAAAAGTACATACAATTTTACTTTTTTTAATTTAAATATTGCATATAATCAATAATTTATTGGCAGAGTTCATTGTTACAAGCTATCTTACAAGAATTACCACTATCCGAAGGAAAAATTACAGTTAACGGTGTTGTTTCTTACGCATCACAGGAACCATGGTTATTTGCTGGATCTGTACAACAAAATATTCTGTTCGGTTCAACAATGGATGAAGAGCGTTACAAAAAAGTAAACACGAAAAATAATTTTTAAATGTATTTAACAATAACTTAAACTTAATCTATTCTTATTATTTTTTAATTTAAAATAGGTTATACAAGTTTGTGCATTAATTACCGACTTGAAGCAGTTGCCATATGGTGATAAAACAATTGTTGGTGAGAGAGGAGTGTCTCTCAGTGGCGGACAAAGGGCAAGAATAAATTTGGCTCGGTAAAATTTTTTTTTTTTATTTATAATAATTATATTAAATATATATACATATTTAATATCATTATACCAGATCTGTATACAAAAAAGCAGATATTTATTTATTGGATGATCCTCTATCAGCTGTGGATACTCATGTTGCCAGGCATTTATTTAAAAAATGTATTAAAGGTAATAATATGGAAAATATTGAAGTAATACTTATTGATGATTTTCTCATTTATAGGATACCTTAGAGATAAAACTTGTATTCTTATTACCCATCAAACTCAATACTTGAGTAACGTGGATCAAATTATCCTAATGAAAAAAAGTAATTCCAGTATATAAAGTATAGATCGTCTTTGTTCTTTTTGTAATTTATATTTAACCCAGTAATGATTTTTCAGGGAAATATATTATCCGAGGGATCATATGACGAACTTCAAAAGTCTAATTTAGACTTTACAAAAATGCTTAGATCACCAGATGCACCCCATAATGGAAATATTAAAAACAATACAATTCCTAAAAATCACCATGTAGTTTATAAAAGACAAGTGTCCGTACAAAGTTTTGCTTCTTCAATTGAAGATAACCAACCCAATGAATTTGAAGATCAAATTGTCGAATCATCGGAAAATCGAATTTCTGGAAAAGTTTCAAATAGTGTTTATTTGTCGTATTTTTTTGCTGGTGGAAGTGGTCTTAAAATATTATTTTTCTTTATCATATGTATTTTCACTCAAGTACTGGTATCAGGTGGAGATTTTTGGATAGCATATTGGTATAGTAATAAGAATCTAATCTGCTGAAAAATATTATATTGTATTATATATATTTTTTTAGGGTTAATCTAGAAGAACATATTTTTCATAAAATGAAAACTATTACTTCATACAATACTAAAACAACTAGTGATCAATCTACGACATTATTGTGGTGGTCGATTTCTCGAGAGACCTGTTTTATTGTATTTATCATTTTAATTTTTTTGATGGTGGTCGGGATTATCATCTGTTTAATTACATCTGTATCAGTTTGTTTGAAATCTTCAATGATATTACATAATAACATGTTTAGTGCTATCATAAGAGCTACAATATATTTTTTTAACACAAATTCATCAGGTAAAAAACCAATCAAAATACCTCTTATTTGTATATTTTTTTGAAATTGCTTATTTTTATAATTATTATAAAGGGCGTATTCTTAACCGATTTTCAAAAGACATGGGAGCTATTGATGATATATTACATAAAATGTTAATGGACTGTATACTTGTAATGTATTCTCAAACATGAATTCTTTAAACAATTTTAACACGTATAGTTTTACTAATATCTTTCGTTTTGTTATAGCTTGGATTAGTACTAATATCAATTGTGATTGTTATTGGAGTTATAAATGTTTACATTATGATACCTACTTTTATCATTTTATTAATATTTTATGAATTTCGAGTATTTTATTTGTCAACTTCCCGCAGTATCAAACGATTGGAAGGCGTTAGTAAGTACAGAGAATATTTAAATTAAATAATTTGTATTGTTTAATACGGTGTTTTTTAGGTTTTTTATGTTTTTCAATTCTTTAGATGCTTTAAAAATACCTAAGAAACATCAAGAACTAAAAATATCAATTTAATATAAATATATATTTATGTTACCGGAAAAGATGATAATCAGTTAATGTCTACCGTAAATAGTGTAACGGTTCTCACCAGATAACAATGTAATTGCTTTATATTGATATATATATATACGACCCTTTCTTTTTATAATAATTTCATTTATTCATCATATAATAAAATACATAAATATTTAAATACATATATATATATATATATATATATATATACATAATAATATTACTTTTACAATTTACATTTTTATGGGGTGAACAGGAATATTGTTTTTTTATGCCCGCTCAAATAAGTGGCGTCTAATTTACAATATTTGTTCGATTTAGGCGTGGCCTAGGTAGGCGCGCTTGAGAGGACTTGTTTTTACACGGGTTGTCCTGAAAAGGACAGTTTTGGTTTCTTCGTGTTTGGCCTCCGATCCGCTCAATATGTCCGTCTGGTGTAGACCACCTCTGGAGTTTTTCCGGGGCGCCGGGTTATATCTCTATACCACGGATCTATGTGTGGCGCATCGAAGTTCCGGTTTACACCATTCTCCGACGTCGGATATAACGAGAGGTTACCACTTGATTAGTTCCGTGGACAGAGATATATAACAGGCAATCCACAACACCCAGGAGTCGTCGTGTGGCTTTGTGGAGATGCGTGGCATGAATCACGCCCGGAATCACGTCAGACGTTGCTCGACGGTCTTGACTCTTGAACGTCAGGAACGTCGTTGTTTTTCGTCCGTACGATCAAAATGTGGCGATGCTCGTTAAGAGTTGCACACGGGATCGTATCGGTCGTTATGGCTGGTAGTCACTCTTGAGGTTTCTTCTGATCTTCAATCTTCGATGTTTACTGGTGTAAGGTTGAAGAAGAACTGTGGAATGAAACTGGTCTCACTGCCGAATCATACCAGTATAAGTACTACTATCCGTACCGACTAGTAAACACCTCGATTTTTCGGTAGATCGTTGTGTTATGTCTTGTAACGAATTTAGTCATATCTCTGATGTTTTTTGATGTACAATTATGAATAAAACATTGTTGTCTTTGTCTCATCTTCCCCTATCCGCCGATGTATGTATGATGTCTATATGGTGTACGGGAAGACTTGGATTTAACCCTTATGTTCAAAATGTGGGGTTTTGCGCTCATCCTGTGTTACGATTGGTTGTCGTAATATTAATGTTTTGTTGTACCGTTTCAATAGTTAATATCGATAATATCTGATTTTGCGAGAAATTGTCATAAATTACTAGAAATTGACGTTAGCCCTAAAAAAGGAAGGCATTTATGCAATGTTTTAAAAATATTAAATGAGTAATTATTTATTTATTATTATTTATTATAAGAAAGTAAATTACTATGGCACATAGAGTTACATAATTTTTTGAGGCACGACAAGCACATATATTAGATTTACGTGTTTTTTACAGTTGTATCTAGTAAAATCTAATGATACAGAAATGCTGTTAAAGCAGCTGATTCATAAATATAAAATCATACTTGCGTAAGTATGTTCTACAACGGTTTGTCCATTTCTTTTTTTCTGGTCGTAAATAGCGTTATTTTGGATTGCTTTATTTCTTTAATTCTTTCACAATGTATTTTATGATTTAAAACAAAGTTATTGTCATTACGTTTTTTTTTTTTAATTAATAATAAAATTATTTTGTCAAATTTTAATTGCATTCGATTTAAACCCATTTTTTAAAATATTAAATAAACACTTTTCTTAAACACTGCACAAAAAGTACTGTCTCTAGTAATGTTTTTATAAACTGTTACGACTAACGATACGATACAACACACAGAATTCGATATATAAAACAATAAATAACATGAAACCCAATAGAGATTATCTATTGTCTATTCAATCAACCATGTCAATTTACAACATATACGACAATGTAGATACAACTACAAATAATATTCAACAACGCCTAACATTATTAGTATTTGTTAACAATAACTAGGGAATGACAACAATACTTAATAAATCAACTTTCTGGTAACATATATATAAATAGACCTATAAATAAAAAAAAAATTATTAAATTTAATAATACTAAATTAATATGATATATTCAACTTTACACAGTTCCCCCAGATCACTTATTTGGAACCCCAAGACTCTATTTTGAGAACCACTGATATAACAGAACTTTTATTTAAATATTCGTTTCGTATTGTTAATATATAGCAAGAAGTCCCGTATTTGCCCATTTAAATGCATCGCTTCAAGGTTTAACCACGATAAGAGCATATGGAGCAGAAAAAATTTTATCTGATGAATTTGACAACCATCAAGTCTGTAATGAATATTTAAACATTATTTATAAGTTTTTACAATATATGTTTTTATATCATTCTAGGACCTACATTCTTCGGCTTGGTATTTATTTATTTCATCAAGTAGAGCATTTGGATTATGGTTGGACATAGTATGTTTTATCTATATAGCCATTGTGACGTTTAGCTTCTTGGTAGTAGGAAATAGTAAGCAAAAAAATTACATAAATCTATACATTTAATTATATTTAATAAATTTATTTTATTTTATTTTAGCCACATATGGAGGAAATGTTGGTCTGGCTATTACACAAGCAATTAGTCTAGCCGGAATGTTCCAATGGGGAATGAGACAATCAGCTGAATTAGAGAACCAGATGACTTCAGTTGAAGTAGTGCTTGAATATACAAATGCTCCACAAGAAGATGCTCTTGAATCATCACCTGGTAACAATTAACAATTATAAAAATTTTCATCAGAAAATATATCAGTATATTTTTTTGACTTAAATTTTTACTTAGAAAGAAAACCACCTACGGAATGGCCAATGAATGGGAAGATTACTTTCGAAAAATTTTTTCTTCGATATAGCACAGATAGTCAATTTGTAATCAAAAACCTTAATATAAATATTGAACCGATGGAAAAAGTACTAATAAAAATACGTAACTAACAATATAAAATTAATGCAAATAATTATTCATTTATTCTTAAGGTTGGAATCGTAGGAAGAACTGGTGCTGGAAAGTCATCATTAATTGCAGCGTTATTTAGATTAGCTATTAATGAAGGCAATATCATCATCGACGATATAGAAATACACGATTTAGGACTTCACGAGTTGCGTTCTAAACTTTCTATCATTCCACAAGAACCTTTTTTATTTTCGGGAACAATGCGAATTAATTTAGATCCGTTTAATGAATATCCAGATCATGTTCTTTGGAATGCTTTAGACGAAGTAAACCTATTAATTTATTATTTTATTTTCATAATAATATATTTATAAACGTTTTATTTGTTTATTTTATAGGTGGAACTCAAGTCTATCATTGAGGATTTACCCAATGGTCTGAATTCAAAAGTGTCAGAAGGTGGTTCCAATTTCAGTGTCGGCCAAAAACAATTAGTGTGTTTAGCTAGAGCCATTATTCGAAACAACAAGATTCTTATTTTGGATGAAGCCACTGCTAATGTTGATCCACAGTAAGAATATCAAATATAAATAATACATCTATGTATATCGCAAATACACATAAATATACACACGCACATATTTTGGACATTTGTTGTATAACGACAAAATATAATTATTTATTATTACTTTTTTTTTTTTTTTTTTTTAGAACTGATGCGTTTATTCAGAACACTATTAAAAATAAATTTCGAATGTGTACCGTACTAACAATTGCTCATCGTTTGAATACAGTTATGGATTCTGACAAGGTGCTTGTAATGGATGCGGGTACAATGGTTGAATTCGATCATCCATATAATTTGTTGAAAAATAAAAATGGGTTCTTGTATAAAATGGTTGAACAAACTGGGCCAATCAATTCAGAATTGCTACATAATATAGCTTCAGAAGTATTTAAAAATGTCATCCAATATTACAATATATTTACAAGTTTAAACATATTTTACTTTATTAGTATCTATTTTTTTATTTTTTTACAGAGCTATAATAGGATGATTTCGACAAATAAATATACTGTCAATACATGAAAAAAATATTTTATCGATCTTCATATTTTCAAAAACTAATAATTTCTTATTTATCTGTGTACAACGAAACTTATACCGTGAATCAGATATTATTTTAGCCAAGAGTGTTATTTTCAAGATGCAATAGTACATAATTGTATGTACCTATTAAGTTTAGGTTATATAGAAAATATTTATCGAATTTAAATTGTAAATTTTAACATGCTTCAAAATATTTTAAAACGTGTTCATTTTGAATAACAGTTAATTATTTACCACAATACCTAGTTATTTATTCATCTATTAAAAATTATTTTTAATTAAAACTTAAAAAATGTTTTATTGTATTATTATCAAAGTTGAAATAAAAAAATTCCTGATTAAAATCTTTT